TAACTTTGACCTATTGGATTTGGGGGCTTTATCTTCTTTCAGCATTTAAATCGTAATATTTAGGTTACATGACTTAATTAGAGAAATATGTTATGGTACGAGTGAAATAGTTAGATTTGTAATATAGCCATAATGTTTAAATAAGAGTTTGCTATGGTTTTCATAAATTTGTATAAAAGTCATGAAGTTTGGCATAATACTACTCTTTTTCCTTTGATTAAAATCCAATATATACATATAAAAGCCAGTTGTCATTTTGTGTGTTTGTAATGCTCATATTATGAGTGATGTTTAATTTAAGTTGCACCATTTTCACTAATTTTTTGAGAGCGTACTTGAAAATTGTTTTTATTTTTTCAGTGTGTGATTGTTTTTCTTTTATAATGAAGGGGATAATTTGATGATAAAACTTGATGAAGGAAGAGTAAGGACTACCGGTTTTTTAGTTCGTTTATAAAACTCCAACCAGTCATTTTGCTGACGGGTGGAGTAGAGTTAGTTTTCAATAAATTGCATTGAGTTTCATATATTGCAAGTGGATTTACTAAAAATTGAAGTTGATCCTCGATATTCCTCTGTCTAATTTTGAATGAATTATTCACTTCTGCTAGGCGACAAATCAACGGCTCAACTTTGGTATAAGAAGTAGCAAAGTAACTATACTTTGATAACAGATGGATGGTAGAATAATTTGTTCTAACTATATAAGTATTGAGAATTGCTTATAGATCTTCCAAGTAGTCTCAAACTTTTGTTTTTCTCTGTTTAAAATAAAGTTTTCTTAAATTTCGACGTCACGTATGCATTCTACTATTCGATTACTTCAGTCAGGACAGAAGGTGAGTGTGTGAGTGTAGAAGGAGAGAATCAGTCAAGAAGTCTTAATTTATTTCAGTAAATAAGTTTAACTAAATTCATGAACTAAATATATTTTGTTGATATTATTGAATCGGAATTGGTATATCCTGAACGGCATCATATGCGCACATGGTCTAATTCCAAACTACTGATCAGAGAAAAGGCAGCTAACCAGAAGCACACATCGCCACAAGGGCTTTGTCCGGATCTTTGGGACGAATATAAAAAAATAACTGTTGCTTTATAACGCGCACACAGTTGTAAGTCTGGAGAGTATTCATTGGGATCATGTCCCAAATTTCGAACTGTTTGATCTACAACCCGACACGCTAGCTATTAGGCTACGCTCAACCCGTTTAATGTTATGATTTCTAGAAAGTTAAGTTGCCATTCTACATTATTTCTATTTCGAAAATAGCTAAAACAACTGTTTTGACTATTTTCTGATGTTCCACTTGTTTGTTGTTAAACACGCATTAATTTTACGATGCTACATGAAACATTATCATAGGGAAATCTAAAATAGTATGTGCCTAACTGAATGTCTTGGGCTCCACAATAATCATATTGTTTTAATTTAAATTCCTTTAAAGTGGAGCATGTGCAATGCCTGTTTGTTTGTTTATTTTTGAATTGCGCGCAAAGCTACATGAGAGCTATCTGCGCTAGCCATCCCTAATTTAGCAGTGTAAGACTAGAGGGAAAGCAGCTAGTCATCACCACCCACCGCCAATTCTTGGGGCTACTCTTTTACCAACGAATAGTTGGATTGACTGTCACATTATAACGCCCCCACGGCTGAAAGGGCGAGCATGTTTGGTGGGACGGGGATTCGAACCCGCGACCCGCAGATTGCGAGTCGAGCTCCATAACCACCTGGCCATGTACAACGTCAAAAGCCCGTGAAGAGTACTATTGGATCAACCGTAAGTATAAGGACTCACAACGCTAAAATTCGGGGTTCGATTTTTTGCGGTGAACAGTGTTCATAGCCCATTGTGTAACTTTGCATTAGACAACATCAATGAGTAGTACTATGTTACATTAATGTGGTATAATTTTGTAATCAACATATACAGGGACGGAAAAATCATATAGCTCTAACTCCATTAAGAACTAAGAAGTTAAACACATAAGTGTGGCTAAGAAAATGCATAACAGATCGAGAAAATTTGCACAACCCTAAAGTGTTTAACCATCAATGTTGAAAAATCACAAAAACGACTATAAAATTTCGTGACAACAACCCATCAATAAAAAAAAATGCTACGATTTATATTCCTTGTAGAATAAGTTCACTTCGTCATTATTCATTATCCGATTCATCAGAAGTGTCATCGATGATTGTTTCAGCATCTTAAACATTTTCAAGTGCGAAAGCTGAATTTGTGGCGTTTTAGTATCAAAAACCACATTCCTGAGGGTATATGTGCACATAGCCCTCTCGCGCCTGTTTGATACAGAGAATATTCCATGTTTAACTGCTTCTACTATTTTCTGTGACCATTTTTTGCTTCTAACACCTGACATACTTTTCTTTCTTAAGATGTTGGTTACATTCTATTTGCTTAGGGAATGGTCCCTGATTTCACACGCATATAGATGCGAAAGTTTCTCAACATGATTTTCTCAATCAGCAAAACTGGGAGAAAGACTAATACAGTGTGCCTATTAGTGATTGCAACCGTCAAGTTGTTTGACAAGTGGGTATTACTGTGCATAATGTAACTTCACTAAAAGGTCATGGGCTCTTGTAATGGATATGCAATTAGTTATCATTATCAGTTCAATTCGGTTGATCTGTCCAAATCCAAGACACAAAAGAAGAAAATCGCTCAACAAAGCAGAACTAGCTAAATATATGCTTTCTTCACCCATAATGGTAGACAGAATGTGTTGGATAACCCATTTAAGAGTTTAATTAGACGAACTCCCAAACAGATATTACAGATCTTACAATGATATTCTTCTAGGGTGGAATCCTTTAGGACAGGTCATCAAATTGAAAGTTGGTCAGTCCAATCAAATTAAAGTATTGGTCATTAATTAACTTGTAAACCTATCAAAACCTACTCCGCCTGATATTTTTAATGCAGCATTTGTGTTCTCCAAAAGATAGATCACTTCCGTTCTGTTGCAACTGGTGCGGTCTTTCATGTTTGCATACATTACTTGATTTCACTCTAACAGTACCAGATTCCATTAGGAGTGACAATACCAAACACAGCCAATAGTTAGGTTCGTGCTACAAATGGTACAACAATCAGCGAGTTACGCTTCGGGAACATAATATATTTCGTATGACTCTTACCCGTTGACATATTATTACTTCTTAAACACTGAGAGCTTGTAGAATCCATAGTTTACCCATATTATCAATATGAGTTACTTTGTTACAAATGCTGAAAAACTCCTTCTTTTCAGAAAACATTATAGCGTAAAAACAATAATAATGATTTTCTTAACCTATTGCCATATACGTCCAAAGGGATTAACCAAAATGAAACTGCTCAAAACGTGTTGTGACATCAGTTCGTTAAATAACTTCAAAATTTGATATTATTTTGAATTTTAAGCGAAAGTAGGCTGACGACATTGAATGCTCACTTTATTGGAATCCTCAGTTAATATCGTGCTGTATCACCTTTCTCGGCTATTATATCATGGAATATCCATCTAATATTTTTCTTTGCGATAATAACATGAGATTCCCACCTAACATCACGTTAAATAATCTTTCTCTGAGATACTAACATCAGATCCCTATCTATCATGCGGGATCATCTTTCCCCGCGATATTAACATGGAATAAACGTGGTGTAGACATGAAAATGTGCTGCAAGGTGTTTTTTGTTTTGTTTCTATTATACCCAATTCTTCAAGAAATGTGATCCACTATTGGTTCAGATATAGTAATATAAAACTGAGTAATAAATACAGCATTTAGATAGAGAATCTGTTTTTGTGCCGAATAGAGTTTATGACCGCGTTCTTCAAACTAACTCTGTACAGAAGCAAGAACAGTTGATTGTTACATTATCATATCGGAAAAACCCTTGGAAATGCATCATTGAGGGGTATACAAGTTAGGCGACAACGTTCAATTCGATTCGGGATATTATTCACTTTTCTAAGGAAATCAGAGGATCTAACCATAGTCGCAATAATATTCACCACACCGATATATTATTTCCCCCAGCCTTTCTTGTCAGAGCAGCATAAGCAGGGTCAAACACTTCATGTGATTTTTTGCCATACTTTTTTTATTATCAGTACAGAAAGATAGAGAACGAACTCAACAGACCACATTACGCAATTCCAGTCACTTAATATTGACAGTTCCAGCTCTAAGCATTAATATATCTCCTGTTTCCAGTTTATATCTGAGATAAGCATTTTTGGTGTGGTTGTCGGCTACCATTTGAAGATTTTTTATCTCCTTCACATCGTATAAATCCTAATCATTAATGACGAAATCGTTCAGTACACAGTCTCACATCCGTTGTACTTTATGTATTTTTCGATAATCGTTTTATTTAGTTTTCTGTCATCAGTTTCCGGCCACCTTATTTCTTAGTGTAGGTGTGTTTCTTTTTAAGTGCCACTGTTTAGAGTCCATTATGACAAATTTCTGAGTACAGTCAAGAAATAAATGATCTTTTAAAGAGCGATACTACTAGACCAGCTCACCTATTTTCCATCTGTTTTGTAAGTTTGTAAAAATCATTTTACCATCCTAGAAATATTTCTCTGAATTATTGTATTTTCCTGCTCGATGTGTATATGAGAGTTGGAAGTAGGGGTTCCTAATAAAATGGCTAGTCTATGTAATTCATCATTCAATCAGTTCATTTTTATGATATCTTTTTATCCATATTGAGTACATATAACGTATCTCAATATGCAAACCGACGATTATATTGCATCTTCAGTAGCATGCAAATCATTTCGTGAACACATTTATGATAGACGTTGTTTTGATGCTAACGTGATTAGACAGACAACACTTGTGTTAGCCTACGTAGTAATTGCCCTCATCAAGGTTTGTGTTAGCCTGTGTAGTAATTGTCCAAGTGAAGTTTGCATCAATTTGTCTAATATTTTTCTTTGCTTAAAGAATATTGTATTAGTTACAAATTACTAGGTTGTAAATTGTGGACCTACTGAGAGTTATCTTCGTGCTCATCTTAGTATTTCTTAATCTATTTGTCATCCCACCCTCTTCATTATTCAGTTGTTTTCATGATTTTATGGGATTAAAAGTGAATGAGATTTATGGGATACCAAAGATAATACTAGAACGAGCTTGTTGAAGTTCAGACATATCCTTGTGTTTGTTTTTATTTTCTTAATGCAAAGGTTAATGGGCCTCTTGAACCCTGTCCACCGCTGGGAATTAAACTTCGGATTTTTAGTGTTGTAAGTCTGTAAACTTACAGCAGACCCACCGGGAGACTTTTCCAAAGGTTTGTATTTACTCTGCTGTATGACTGCTTAATGTTTGTCTATGGTCGAACAGCTGAATAGTGAAGAATGTTAATGTGTATCGTGTTTGGGAGATTCTTTACTTATCATAATAATTTTAGATCAATAATACTAATGCTAATCATTTATACTTCAACGGATAAGTGGTTTAATGAAATGTTGGTGGTGTTATCAGCAAAACTGTGAACTGAGCGAGAAAAAAAGTTAGGCCTAGTCTAGTTGTGAATCGCCAGCTGTCGCTGGGTTAAACTGGTCTTAAAAAAATTCACTCTGATCGCTATACACTGTAGTACGAGTAGTCCTTCATTAACCACCAGAACTATATCTACACATTAGTTGGAGAATAAATATTATTAATGCTGCCAGTATTTTCCTTAAACTTTTCAGAAGCTTCAGCAAATAAGCGGTTTAAATTATGAAGTATGATTAATTATATTAATTATGAAAATCATCACGTTAATTATTATTTTGTTAATAATAATATAATAAATATATTGTGATATATGTTTACTGTCATGCTCGCTGCGACCAAAATATTGTTTAATTTTCTATCTTGATTTTTAAGTTCATGAATCTAAGGGTTATAATATTGTGATATGTGTCTACTGTCATGCTCAATACGAGAAAAGTATTGTTTAATTTCCTATCTTGATTTTTTAAGTTCATGAATCTAAGGGTTATAATATTGTGATATGTTTCTACTGCCATGCTCAATACGAGAAAAGTATTGTTTAATTTCCTATCTTGATTTTTAAGTTCATGAATCTAAGGGTTATAATATTGTGATATGTTTCTACTGCCATGCTCAATACGAGAAAA